TAAGTCGTTTACGTTCCTACCACACACCCAAACCCTTAGTCTGGCGATTCATCCATGCCTGCATTCTTCCTCTTATCTTATACGGCTTTCCTGTCATTTTTCCTGCTTTGCTTAAAAAGGATCTTTTTATTTTGAAACGAGTTCTCCGCATGATCTCTTCTGCTGCTGGTGTTTATTATCTTTATTAGAGGACACATTCTTACAACGGCATTTCAGTGCGTTTAAGCAATTTGCTGGTCGGATAATAGATGACGTTTCCCATACCTGATCTTATTTCTGCGAGGTCTTCCCACCCGATGCGCCGCAGCTTCCGATTTATGTCACGTCGCACATCGGCTTAGCGAGCTTCTGTATTGCCATCCCTAGCGCGCTATCTTACGTGCAAAGAGATAGAAAAACGGGAGCTAAGACTTTACTTATCCTCATAATAATCGTTTCATTGTGTTAAACTTTGACTCTTGAATATTCTATTAACTTATTTACTGCCCATCGTGAATGGGGCCATTTTTTTGCTGGAAATTTTGAACTTATGATTAAAAAATAAAGCGACTTCCTCTCTCTCTGTGGATTCGAATCCTACCTGTGCTTCTTGCAGTGGTTTCTTCACACCACCCTGCGTCCTAGTCCGTTTGTCGAGAATCCATCTCACTGAGACTGTCCAACGAGTACCAGGAGTACCAACATGCACTCCTCCCACCTACCATAACTAGTCACAAATTCCACACACATTTACCCACCACATGAGGCTAAACGGCCACGTGCGTCTGCATACAATTCCCCAATGAACCACCGATGACCAAACTGCATTATGATTCGTTCTCCTTACCAGCACATTCACTACACACAAACGCCTCCCACATCATTCACTACAGGTATGGCCGACCCGTCTATCACACGAATGGAAAGCGTGTTGTGTAGTGCAACCTCATTTTGTGTCTGCCTGACTGGGAAAGTGGACTGTAGAGATGAAAAATATGAGTGAGAAAGTCATAAGGAATTTATTCCAACAGCATTTCCATGCATTCCTTGCTATAGTAGATCTTATCCGCTCAAAATGATCGCAATGCGCTTAAAAGCCACTGTTTGGAGGTTGGAAATTGAGGCTCAGCCGATGATCAGAATGAGCATGGCCAATTCGGTCCTCTGGGCATGTAGATTTGGTTAGTAACGGCTCCTTCTTAATATGGCCACTTTGGCACTCACACACAGATGGTATCCAAGGCGTCGCACTTTTGTTAGGAATGAAATCTGGTTCATCCTGTCCGGATTAGCAATGTGCGGTATGCGTAGATAGGCTGTTTAGTTTCAGCAGCCAATAAATCCGATCACACCTCCGGTCTTATTGGTTCTACCTTTACATCGGCTCCATTGATAGCGACTGGGGACAGAGAGTGTGCTGGATACTGCGCAAGTCTACCGCCACTATAAAATAATCCACGCGCAACTTAACGCTCCACCACCCACCCTGCTAAGAAATGAACGGGTGCCATGATCGGTAGCGACGGTCAAACTGTCGATGCGGTAAATTTATTTATGTTGATTAAGACGGCGGAGTGCGATGTCTGTGTGACTATTAATTTCCCACACGTTAGGTACTCATATAGTTTCGGTGAGAATGACCTCACGCGTTAACTTCGTAACATTCCGAAAAAAATAAGTTGGACAATGAATTATTTTCTTAACACACATTGCAACTTTGTATTCTAATTTACGTCGTCATTAACGTGCTCTTGCTGGAACATGACAAATTATGCCATTCAATTTATAAAATGCCGCCTGTGCTATAATTTCCATCTTCGATAGCGTATTTATTCTCCACCTCGTCAAGCTTGCGTCTGCCAGTCTAACAACCTGATCACAGACAGCTTTGGATAAATTTGGGAAGATCATATTCGTCAGACGGAGTGTGTTTTTCATGCTAGCATCGTACAAGTAAGTGACATAGGCATCAGCTCTCACGGATTCCAAGACGAAACTCAGAGAGTTCACAGTTCTGACATATTGTAGCTTGCTTTGTGCTGGTCCATGAACCTTAAGGAGAATAAATGCAAATGGATATTTACTAAAGGATTTGGGTCGAAAATTTAACAAAATGATGTTTATATATGCATTGAGTGACCGATCTCATGAAATGTTGGCGGGAATTCTGAAATGGGTTTTCGATTATGAAGGATTACTTAGGCGCGGTTGCAAAACTGATTATCTTGCTGCATAATCCTGTTATATTTTGGACTTTACATGATGTCTGCTTTCGAACTAACCGCCTTTTCAATCTTCTGTGAGAACCTTGCTTGCTAAAATGACTACTTTATTAGCGTGCATTTTTCATATTTATTTTCGATGGTCTTGCAAAGTCAAATATACTTTACCGAAACCACAAACGAAAATATGCTTTACTTCAGTCGTTTGATGGAAACGCACGTCATCTTTACATTTTATATTTGAAAAAGTAGTATAATCAGGTTTTAAAATGTGTTCTAATTCCCAAATAATTTAGAGCCTGATCAGTCGTCGCATTAGCGCTTAATGATTTCGGTCTACAAGGTGCAATTGTCCCGTGTTTGGAAGATCATACATCAGAAGAATATACTATATAGCGTCCATAAAATTTTACAATGGATGCGGATCATGTTATACATATAAAGAGGAGCAGTCGTAAACGTACATATCCGATGCTGTATGCAGGACATTGCACGGTCTCAGAAAATGCCATATTAAGAAAAACTTTTGCAGCCTACTTATACTCCTTCCTGAAATATAAAAATAAAGATGACGGGTTTCTTTATCACCCGACTGAATAAAGCATATATTTTAGTGGTTTCGATAAAATGCATCTGAATGTGCGAGACTATTGAACCTTAATTGGCAAGATGCATACCACATATGTATTTATTTTTGCCGAGTACCTATTCTAAATGGGATAAAAATGCAGTGTATTCAAAAGTCGACATCCTGCCGATCCTGAAATAGTATATTGTTATGCTGCAGGAAAATCGGTTTTGCAACTGCGCCTAAGTAATCCTTCCTGATCGAAAACGCATTTTAGAATTCCAGCCGACATTTCCTGACATCGGACACTCACTGTAGATCGGACAGAAGTGGAATATTAACAGGTACTCGGTAACCTTTCTTTTTATTGAAAGGTGAATCTTCGGCAAGTTGATGGAACAAACGAACTGAATGAGGTTTCCTTCGTGCAGAATTCGCAACATCTTGCACGTCGTACTTGTGACAGCAGCAATTGCGTCCAGGTGGACGAGGACAACGGGCATTTTGCTGTCAGATGTTGTGTAGGTCAGAGGAAACATGCGATTCATGCTGTTTTCGACAAAGGCGTTTAGGTCAATCAACCCTTCGTGAGAAGGACAGCGGTCCAATCCTGAAAAGGTAAAAAAAATATATTTTATGTAAATGTAAATGAAGACAGACAGAGAGGTAGAAAAGAGTCATAAATGCAATTGGCACATTTGTACGATGATGTCATGGGTAGCAGCGCAGTTAATCGCCTCGGACTTACAATGCTCCCAGTGTCAAGGTTCACGGTAATACGTTAGGGCAAATATTGTCCAAGAGAACGCAAACGTTGATTTCTGACAAAATATTTGTTACTAAGGCCGTCCGATGATCTGTGTAGAGTACTTGGAAACTGCTTAGAAGTCAAAAAACTTTAAAAATGGTTCAAATACGCAGGCAACGCAGCTTTCAAGTTCAATTAACCCATTTTTATTTTCCAGCATCGCAATTCAGACAAACCATTCGCATCTCAAATACTTGGTACACATAAGTGGGAAATAAGTGCGCGGTTGCAGTTTTAATTCGACATGCGTCGACCATTCTACCGAGGTCTGTTTGTGGCACGATTATTTGGAGCATTTTTTGTCGATTGAAATACGCAAAACCGCCCTAATACATGTCATTACCGCTGTTTTTAGATATGACTCATCGATATACTCATCGATGGAAATGTTTGCTTGAGGTTGTTGAACAACGCGAAAGAAGGCAATTTGGTAATAAGCAGTTTCGTTAATTCACCTGTGCATTTTCGGCTCAATTGAGCATATAATTACAATCGAACAATCTAGGAATGCACTTAGCATGTGCAAAGAATGGCTTTTACCGAGATACTCTAAAAACATAGTGCTAAATGTATAATGATTGGTGTCAACAGTTCAAGCAGCATCCAAAATTCGTCTTCGTTCCTAAAATCCGCTATTATTTATTTAACTTTAGTAAGTAATAAATAAACCTCACATATCTTACCAATGACAGTAGGACAAGGATTGACAGGGCCACCCAAAACAAGAAGCATCAGCGATATTTCCTGCATCGTCTGCTCACATAAATGACTACCTATCTGCAAAACAATGCTATATAGAGCACTCTGCAAGCCGATGCTACTGGCCACATTCCGATGACCAATCATGACTCGCGCATCTTTATTCTCTTGCGGTGCGCATAGGGCTTTTAATTTGTTTGCAGCTATTCCGCCCGCCCACCGATCTCATTCCTTCGAGGTATGTCCTTTTAGCAACCGGTTTTCGTATTGCAATACCTCATACGGGCATACATTTAGAAAATATACTGTCGTCACAGCATAGTGGCACGCTTCTACGGCCTGTCAAAAACAGACAAGCTAGGAATGTTTTCTACGCCTCATCATCCCAACGTCTAGGCGATTGCAGTGACCCTACCAACACATGCGTCCTCACAAAGAGATGCGGAGTGGCATTTGACGCCTGCTGATACAGTTCTGACACGTGTCAGACACCTAGAAGCAGGGGAACACATGGCGCCAGGGGACGTGGCGGCACGCTTAGGTGTCGGTCCGGCCGCGCCGACCACCTGCGTCCTCTTCCACTTCCGGTCTTTCTGACTATGTCTTTGCATCCGGTTAAGGTGAGGAGGATTGCGGTAGATGCAGTGCAAGCGTACTCTATAAACCAGTCTACGCGCAAGTCATTCTGCCTGAATTACCTGGTTGTGGAGCACACGGAGGATATCGTCGGGCCCGACGGTCCAACTGTCAGTACTTGCTCATGCCTGTGGTCAGTGACAGGAAACGAATTTCGTTACCTGATAGCGGTGTCATCAGCTGTTGCTAATAGACTTCTGACCAGTAGTTCGGGGTAGCTGGATTGGACCTTATACGTTAAACCTCTCTGAGGTCCATACAATGCCCTGAATCAATAACATGTGCGGGAATCTGGCTGTCTACTCTCCTAGTTTTGAGTTTTGCCAGCCATGCAGGGAGGTGTTCCCGTATTTTCTTGGGTATTTGGGTATTTAATCTGAAGACCTATGCAGGCAGCAACAGGCCAGGGTTAATTTCCTCTACCGGTTCATTCCTCTTATGCATACATCTGTTCCTAACGGTAAGATATGAAACAAATAGTGATGTAGATAGGCTCCTCATGAGTTTTATAAATTAAAATGCAACCGACAAATTCGATGACTTTTTTTCGTGAAACATCCACGTTGCCAAAATTAAGAGAAATGTATTTAGGCGTTATTTAATGGGCTTTCATACTCCAGTAATTAGAAACCTGGGATAGTACTAAATGATAATTAATATTCCCTCCATACTGAAGTGATTTTTTGTATTTGAAGACACTTTCCAAAACCTCAATTAATATTTCCTGAGACTTCTCATCTACGGAGCAAATCGAAGAAGAGGAAGACGGAATGACATAATCAGGCAAAATACATCAGATTATTCCATGACAAATAAAACGTCCAGGACACGACAATTACCGGCATATTTTCACTCCAAGTTTGTGATCGAGTCGAATTCAAAATTCGTTCGTCAGTTTAAGGAATTTCCTGGACATATCAATAGCGTAAGCCTCGGTTGGCCAACACTTCAGACTTCTTTTCCTAGTTTTGTTTACATTTTTCGTCAGGGTTACTGTTGATTGTGAAGCGTTTTTCCCAGAAACAATACCTTGTCCATTTGTCTACTAGTTCAGTGCAATTTCTTTTTCCGTAATGTTTATGTTTTTAGAGATTGGAGTAGTTGCTGTGTTCTTGCTTTTCTGTCATCCATCCATACAATCTCCGTCGTAAACGCAATGTCTGGCCAAATGGAGTTCAGGTGTCGCGGTAATTTATCCCGTCTGTTCCGACACAATCGAATTTTTGTCATCAACATGATACATCTACAAGTGGGTTCTATGATGGTCAAAAGATAACTGTGTTTGTGATAGAGCGGATGCTTACTCTCGTAGTTTCGGATGAGGTATCGGTATATCGTGAAGGTACGTCCCCACTATCGTCTCTGATGATGGGCTTGAATGGGAGTCCGACACGCCAGACAAATTAAGCTCGTGTTCCAGCAATCGTGTCTCCTTTTTCATGACTGCTTCCTGGAACTGGGCTCTTTGCTTGTTTCAGTATATTGTTTGTCACATAGTGGAGTATTCAACAGAAATTGGTGCTTTTTGCGCTCCTGTCAGTAACTGCGGAGGCTAAATACGGCGGAGTGTACTGGCAGTTTGGTATCCTGTCCAACATCTACCTTCTCTGGATAATAGACGATGAATACGCCTCCGTGAGCAATACAAATGACACACTTTGTTTTTGCAAAACGAGTGGAAGCTTTTGGGCAGTCGGTCGATGGGAATCAGAGTGTTATGAAGGGATAGTGTTCTCGCATATTCTTTATATAAGAAATAGGCAAGAAATATGCACAATTCAAAAGACGAGTTTGCAAGCAAAAGTCGCCTTTTATCTATTCTTTTGAAGCCAGTAGAATTATATGGGAAAGGGGCACAGTCAAATATGTCAGTGACTAAAAAAGCGATAAAGTTAATTTTAAAACAGAGGCAGTGTGAAAATGGAAGGGCGCAGACAGTTGCATGTTGTTAGTCAATCTTTGGTTACGGCATTCGCTGAGCATGAGCGAGGTTCTTCTGGGCGGATAGGGTTGGTTTTCAAAACCTGATGGCGCTGGCAGAGTAGCCTCGGTGAGACCTCATGACTCGCACGAAATGCTTCCGCGGTGTCCACACGATGTTCTGAATCCACTGTATGCGCAAGAATGGCGCTACTAATGCTTCTAGTTTCGCCTTTTGCCAGCCATGCGGGAGGTCTTCTCGTATTCTTTTGGATAGACGCCGACACGTACGACCAACATAACCTGCTCCATTTGAGCAAGTGAATGAATAGGTGCACACTGAGTCGGTCTGAGGTGGTAGTCTATCCTTACCTTCTCTACGTAAAATAGGGCTAGTAGAGAATGATATTCGACCCTTGCTGCTGGGAAGGATCTCGAGACAGCTTTGTCAGGGCGTCTTCTTAGGAGTTCACTCGCAGCGTCTCCTTGGAGAGAAACTTTGAGGAATAAAGTTTTCTTTTCGATAGTCTCAGTAGTGAGTTTCACCGGTCAATCGGCAATGTTCCTTCCGACGAACCTGTCAGGATACCCATTGTCGCAAAATCGTCTTCTGAAATATGCACAATTTCCATAATTAAAGAGACAGAGAACGCATTCACTAACTAAAGTTCAGGGCATGCCTTTCGCCTATTTGTCGCTGCCGCATGACAGAGATGCGGGGTAAGTATGAGAGGCGCCCAACACATCAGAGAGACCCCGGACGTTCCTGGCGCGTTATCTAGAATATACTTTAGTTTTGAAGTTTTAATTTTTAAGCTCTTTAAAAATCAGTGACTTAACTTGGAGAAGATTATTCGAAATTATGCAATTTAGGCTCAGTTGGAAAGTAGGTACCCATATGTCAGCCGAAATACATCAATTTTGGCCGTAATAACGGCAACAGTCTGTCAGTGGCTTACACATGTAAATACCCGGTCAGGATTTTCGCCGATGTCCTTCATAGAGTTGATGGCATACCTACTGACAGATACAAAATTTGTTTACGCGCAGGAAACATTACAAAAACGGACAAGTGGTAATTTTTTTTCACAAAGCATTACTGCATCTGAAATCATACAGTGCGGTATGCTCAACGCCCTTTTTTCACTATAAACAATCTGACGCGCCTGAAGCTCTCACGGTGAACTGATAGCCGTGGTTTGTAAGGTTGCCAACTGACGGGATATCTTGGACATCGCAGTCGGTCCGAATTATACCCTCCCTTAAAGAGTAAAATTGAAAAATGACGTAATTTTCTACTGAACGAGCAATACAGCGAATATTTTGTGCATGCTTTATATGGAATATAATTAAATCTTTCAGGGCAGCGAAAACCAATGAGAAAATTGCATACTACATAAGTAGTCATTATTTGCAGAGTTTCGATCGTGAATGCAGCCGAAAATAAGTTCCTTCGAAAGCTGACACCCTGATGTAACTGGATCATTATAGATTTATGCTGCATCATGATTAGTTTTACAACACTTTTCGAAACGAGAACGCATTTCGAAATTTTGGTTGACATTTCATGAGTTAACACATCTACTGTAATTCAATTTTTAGGAGCATCGAAAATCAGTGAGAAACATGTCTGCTACTTAGGTAGACATTTTGTACAGAGTATAGATTTGCATGTTGCGGGAAATAAATTTGTTCGAAAGCATCCTGGGGTAACTGAATTAATATAGAATTATGTTTCTTGATGACAAATTCTCCAACTCTACTTAATTAATCTTTTGGAACCAAAATACGCATTTCAGAATTTCAGTTGATATTTCATGAGTTAGCTCACCTACTGTACACTGCTTGACCTCCATATATACGTTTTTTTGATATTTCTGAAAAAAACATGATTAATGAATTTACCCCTCAGCTTGGTTGTTGTTGCTAGCAAAAAGACCGACTTTATCTTACCTCTCATCAACGCAGCTGAAGATCGAAAGAGGAGTCCACTTAAGTTTACATTTTTTAGAACAATCGAATGTTTGAAGATTTCAAGAACCTAATAAGATCTGCGTCGACTAAGCCAAATAAAATCCCGCTATATCCAACAAAGAAGGAGATTAAACTCGCAAAATAACATTTTCGATAGAAAGGGACTCAGATTCTCACATCGAGTGACTTCACATTCACACTCTGATGAAGCACTCAAGAGTAGCCCACCACACCCGAATCCATGGACCTTTTCAGTACATCCATTTATTCACTTTACTCATAAAATCCTCCCTCTTTGGTGCACATACAACATGCACATATCTTGGACACAACATCCAGGAACCATATGTCCGTGTAAAGCTCCCTGCCATACAAAACCATAGTTCAAAAGTAGTTTATAATATGTTGCCATCCGATAGAACAGTTGACTAGAAGAGTTTGACGAAAATCCATTTGTTACGATAAGGTTTCATTCCTTTATGCATTAACTATTAATTAGTTGAGTCATCCTAAAATTTTGATATTTTTTCGTCTCATTCAATGTCTTTGAGACATCTAATATTACCGTGAATAAATGTTTTTGAGTCATCAGATCGTTTCAAAAGAATGATTGCAAGGTGCGAATAAGGTGGCGTCGTTGGGCCACTAACGGTAATGGATGGAATGCTGGGGGCCTTATCTCGGTTGTGGCGGTCACTTCGAAGATCCTGTCTAACAGTTCATGTATGTTAACTTAATTCTCTAATATGCCAGTTACCCCAGGATACAGGCTTTCGAACGAAATTCTTTTCGGCAGGCATACAATAGCTATAGTCTGTAAAACGCGACTGCTTAGGAAGCATGCATTTTTCACATTTATTGTTGGATGCCCTTAAAAATTCAATTATATTTTATGGAGAACATGCATGGCAATATTAATTCTTTTACGAATGTAGTATAAATTTACGTTTTTTTCATTATTTCATACTCAAAAAGGTATAATTCAGTCTTATAAATGTTTCTAATTGTACTATTTTTTAATTCCGTGAAATGGCAGTTCATAAAACGTCGAGTCTCTGCATTAACCAATGTGGCTCGCATAGTTAACTGTATTACCCAAATCCATTATTGGATTTTTGAACCCATATGGTGTCCACTTAATACCGTAGAGAAAACTATGGTTTTTCGTACGCGGAAAATTTATGATTTGTATTTTGGTAACCCTGAATGCAAGTGTAACTGCAGGTCGGGTTCAAAATTTTTGGGGAATTGGAAGTTTTTGAAAGCCGAATTACGACCGTTGTGAGTACAAAATTAGGACGACGACGGCGACATCATTTTTTACCGAATGAGTAAAAGAAGGCATTTTGTAATGCATGTTCTCCATGAAATATAATTGAATTTTTAAGGGTAACAGAAATCAATGAGAAAAATGCATGCTTAATAAGCAGTCGTTTTTTACAGAGTATAGCTTTTAGTTGCTGCCGGAAAGAAATTTGTTCGAAAGCATCCTGGGGTAACTGAATTATTATAGAATTATATTTCTTTACGATACGTTCTCCAACTCTACTTAATTAATATTTTCGAAACGAAAACGCATTTCAGAATTTCGGTTGACATTTCATCCGTTAGCCCACCTACTGTAAGTGTCGCCAAGCAGTCCAAAAATGTGGATGTTTATTTAAATAAACTGCTCAGTCTCTTGCAGCCATGCCCTTCAATCGCGTTTTTTGTTGACGTGTTTTGATAAATGACGCTATTAAGCGATTACTACTATCAATATATGACAGCCTACTCGTCCAATTCTTTTTATCCGGCGAAGTCTGTATACTGTTTCAGGGGGGGGTGTACTATTAAGATTGATCTTGCAATTGTTTTGCGAAATCTCTCTCTTAGAACGATGAACTATGGTTCAGGTCTCACTTTAAACGCATCGGCATCTTTTGCTCTATCGAAATAGAACCGTTTAAATCACTGTTTACACTACTCTTCTATTGGTTCTTTAATTTGACATTATTTGTCACTTTTTTCGTGCACACGGCGATTTACACCGATCTATTGTTTGACCCATGAATACAGACATTGTTGCTGAGTGTACCGCTAGTTCAGAACACTAAAACTCATCTAGGGGTTTTAATTTAAATATCCTTCTCGAAAACCGAGGCCGTTTACACTTTTGAATTTTAATTGGTTAATTGGTTAATTGGTTTAATTGGTTTGCTGCCTCGAAAGAAAAGATGTTGTCTACCAAATTCCCTGCTCCAGTTGTGATGCCGTCCATTGTGGCCAAACTGGGAAATCTGTCTCGAGCCGTATACATGACTATCAGTTAAGACACTCGCATTTCTGGCGCCTGCTCTATAAGGAAATGCTACGAAGTCTTGGAAGCAATGCGCTGATTAGGCATGCATCATCCGGAATCTCAATCTAGATGCCGCATGCAAAATCGTTCAGAACAAACTCAAACTGGCTTGACCAGTACCAAGGAGATGACAAATTGCAACCAACACGCACTGACACAGAGTTTAACTAATCACGGAATACTTTGTCAGACTCAGTTTGGGAATTAATTTTTTTGCACATCCATGGTATTAAGACGAGCCGGGGTAGCAGTCTCGAAAATGTACACAATAAAGATTACTGTTGGTACAACCTCCATTTTCACGCTTCACGTGCCAGTTTTGCGCTTTGTTGGCTACTTTTGAATTGCGTCTATGTCAGAATGCTGACTGACACTGAGATTTGGTAGAAGTCACCCGCATTGCGCCCACATCTGTGTCTGCGGAATTTAATAATTGAGATGCTGGAGAAATTAGAATCACTGGTCAGAAGAACCCAAAAACAATGATATAATAATGTGCAGTAGGTAAACAAAGTCATGAAATGTCAACCGAAATAACGAAATGCGTTTTCGTTTGGAAAATATTAATAAAGTAGAGTTGTAAAACCAATCTTCGTGGAGCATACTTCTATCACAATTCAGCTACCTCAAGATGCCGGCTTTTTAACAAACGTCTGTCTGGCTGCATGCAGGAACAACGTTGTAAAACATGACAACTTACGCAGCATGCATTTTGGCTTTGATTTGCGATGCCCTTAAATAGTCAATTATATTTCATTGGAAAAGGGCATAACAAATATGGATTATTCTACTGATTCGACAGGAAATCACGTCTTCTTTCAATGTTGTACTAGAAGCAAGGGTATAATTTGGTTTTTAAAAAAATTCTAACTGGAAGATTTTTTAATACCATGAAATGGCCGTTCATAAGATGTCATAAATCTGCATTTACTGGTGTAGCTTACAAAGTTAACGATATGGTTCAAAACCACTACAAAATTTTATGAACCCCGTATGATCTCCTTTTAAAACTGTACAGGAATTTTACGGTTATCCGTATGCGAAAAAACTTTCCTTGTATTTTGGAAACCCTGAATGCAAGTGATGCAAGAGGTCGGGATCAAAATTATTCATGAAATGGAAAAGTTTTTAAAACCCTATTAAACCCTGACTAAGAGTATAAAATTGAGAGACGATGTACTTCTTTGCAGAATGAGAAACAGAATGAATATTTTTATCCATGCTTTCCATGAAATATAATTTATTATTTATGCACATCCAAAAGCAATGAGAAAAACGCATGCTACGTAAGTGGTCATTTTTTACAGAGAGCAGTTT